TTTTTTTTTTTTTTTTTTTTTTTTTTTTTTTGTAAGGTTAATAGGTTTTACTGAAGAGGTGTTGGGCAAACTTTGATAAGTGTGCACTTTTTAATTGTTGGTTGATAAATGGTGACAAGCTAAAGGTCATCGATGAATACAGCTTATTGTTTTCTCAATATATGTTTACAATTCAAAAGAAATACTGTTTCAGCAGCATAATATGACAATAACTAACGGAATCAAACAATTAAAGATTCTATAAAATTTGATTACTTCTAGATTTTCTTTTAGCAATAAAACAGGTACTTTTGCATCCAATGCAAGCCTAAAGTTTTGCATTGGTTAAAAAACGCTTTTCCCGTGTCTTTACAAGCATTATTTTCATTTTTTTTGACAAATGTTTTGTTAACTGTAAAAGTTTTTTTTCTGCTTAATTAAAATACCAGTTGGTTTAAAGTGTTTTTTTTATTTTTATTTTTTTACGCATTTTATTGAACATGTAATGTCAATTTTACCAATAACAACATCGACATAATACCTTGGATTAGTTCAAAAAAATCCGTTCCTTCAAAGGAAAACTTTGGAAGAACTACATTCTGAGAATTACAAAGGAAAAAGGTGGAACAATTGTGGAATGCTTAATGGTCAGCCTGAAAACTGTAAACCGTCAAATATTGTAGAAATTTAACAATTACGATGAGAAGGCCACGGTCTTCAGCCAGTGTTCTTCAATTATAATTCTTGCGCTTGTCAGACACACCGATGGCAGTTTGGTGTTTTCAGTATCTGGAGAAGATGCATGAGAAAACGAGAAAAAAAATTAAAAATTGAAAAGAGATTTTACTGCTTTACAAAGATACCTTATCTTATACAATAACTGCTGTAATTTGAAGAATCATGAATTTTTAGCACGTCTTTTAACCTACGTCAACTTCATTTTTCAAAGCTTACTGTCACTGGTTTAACTAGCACAACTGAATCTCTTTTTTTGATACTAGAAAAAACAACTCTGAATTTGCTGCTAGTAATGTTTCTATGAAAAGCTTCCACTGCTACAATATGGGTTTTAAGAGAAGAAGTAAACTTGTGCAGCAATTTTTCTAGCTATCAGAAATTTTTTAAATTTTATACTTGTTCAATTATTCTCTTCTCCTTCCTTTTTTGCCTTTTCTGCACACTATTCTCCGCAGCAAAAGGTTCAGTATTAACTAAATTAAGAAACTTTAAAGCGTTGATTTTTTTGGCATTTCCGGTGGTTCAGACCAACTTAAGGCATAACATTCAGCACCTTCATTGAACTTCATATTGGCTATTAAAAAACCAATTGTATTTTTACTTTAAAATTAAGCATTGTTTGGGATTGGCAAAATGCTAAAGTCATTTCCCAACATTTCGGGATTGTTTTAAAATATGTTTGCCTATTGCTACAAATTTGTTACTGAATCTTTGATTTTATTCCGGATAAATTAATTCTGCCAGGTTTCTTCAATTTTTGCGAAGTACGAGACTTATCAGTAAAAAATGGCAGTGTATTTCAACAACTTTATTTTTCGCTTAGTGATTATTAACAAAATAATTTTTCTTAACTTTTTCAAAAAGATTTTGATTTCAAAAATAGAGTATTAGTGATTGCTTTTCCTAAGCTTTGAAAAATCTACTACTTCTCGTTCTCTTCTGTTTTGACCTTAAAAAAACCATGTGTACTTGTCTATCACAGTGGAAACAAAAGTTTGAGCCTAAAAAGCGTAGGATTGAAATAATTAATTTTCTGTTTTTTTTTTTATGACGGCAAACTGTATAATAGCCATTTGCAGAACTTTTCAAGATTAGTTTTAAATTATAGCCAATATTTCAGACCTCAACCTCTTAACAAACGTTTAATAACAACTTGTTAGAAAGCAGCATAAAACTCAGTTTAAATACTTTTATTAAATTAAATGAACAGTTTAGATTTGCTGCCGTCTACACAAATGCCGGAGATGGCTGCCGGTATGCAAAATCTGAACGGTTTCGGTTCAACTAGTCAAGACTATGAGGGTCAGCTAAAGGCAATGTCAATGTGCTGGCAGGCATTCGATCCGTCAAGTTCCTATCCGACAGCTAACTACCCTTCTCAATCGGCTACCACAGCTGCTTTTATGCCAGTTATCAAAGGTGATCAACAGGTTGGTTAAGAATCACAACTTTACTTTTTACAGCATAAATTTTTTGCTTAATATGCTGTTGACATTAGATGTGTTTACTGATCAAATTTTGCAGTTACCATCAAGTACTCAGTTGCAAAAAAATCCATTCACAACGTTTGCGCAGCAGTTAACATCGTTCGGTTTCACACCTTCACCTACCTCTACACCAATGAAAAAAAAGCCAACTCCGGTCCCCGATGAATTGAAGGATGAGGTACGTAATATTACTGAGATTTTACCTTTGTCTTGCAAAAAATTCTCGAATGGTTGTCACTGTTACTGCTGTATCTGTTACAGTTAAAATCAGATCAGTAAAATAAATGCTAAAAATTTCTAGCTATTTTTAATTCACATTTTGTGCTTTTTTGAAAGATATAAATTTGCATAAATTTTTGGTAACTCACAGATCAAAAAAAATTTAATAAAATGCAAGCGATTTCTTTTGTTGTTGTTGTTGTTTAAAGGCCTATCGTGAACGACGAATGAAAAACAACGAATCTGCACGACGATCACGTGAAATGAGACGGCAAAAAGAGGAATCCACACAACGACGTTGTGATCAGTTGATGCACGAAAATAATTTACTCCGGGCAGAGTTATCACTTTTGCGGAGTCAAGTCGATCATCTGAAGCAAGTGCTATCAATGACCGCAACTTCACAACAGTTTGTAAACACCGGTGCCGTAGAGCTCAATTAAACTGTTTCTGACCTATTCCATTATCGGTTTTCAAAAAGAATTCTTTGTTTCTTTTGTCTTTCTTCTCACCGTGTTTCAATAATTATCGTTTGTCTGTTTAACTAAGTAAAGGAAAAAGACATCATTAAAAAAACCGTTTTTTTTTCTCTTTTTGACTTATTCTGAACCGCAAGTACCACTTAGTGCTATATGACGTAAAAACGAAAACAAATGTAAAGCTAATTGAACTTAATTTCTCCTTTTTTTTTTAATAAATTCCAAGTTAATGCATAAATTGAATTTACACAGGCAACAAATGTTTAGAACAAAACTGCACAGATACTTCAGTAAATGTCACTTGAACATATTTGGATGACACTTTTTTCTAGGATTCTTTTTTTAACTGGTTACAACCTATCCATATTAGTTTGCTTTTCTGTTTTTCTGACAGACTCTCCTTTAACAAATACTACCTCCATCTTTTTTTTTTTGACCATTTTTTTTACGTTTTTCTAAACTTCAATTAAAAAATTTGTTTTTACAATTTTCATCTGTGTTTATGAACATTTACAGTAAGTAAAAACGAAAACAAAAGAAGAAGAACCATAGTGCTATATATTTACTTATTTGTAGACTATCAAATGATTATCACATCTATAAAAGTGTAATACTAAAAAAATTTAAAATCTGTTCCTAAAATTGATTTTTTTTTTTCTCAGTATTATTAACAAATTCAGAAGTGGGTATTGGTGGTCAATGATAACTTTTTTCCATCTTTTGTTGGTCGAAAAGTTTTTTTATGTCAAAGAAAACAGAGTGTAGAAAGTGGCTTTTTTCCTCTCAATGTTTTAAAAACTGAAAGAAAATAAAACGGGCAGCAAATATTAATTTAAAATTGACCAAAATCTTTACCTATAATTGTTCTCATCAATCAACCTATTATATATGGAGAAAGACTGAAGCAGTAAAAAATCCTTTCTGACCACACCTT